CATGCGTGCTCGCTCGCGTATGGGCCGTCGTCACGTCCTATTTTTGACTTCTGAGCGTGCGCAGAGGATTAAAACCAGGAAGTAATGACATCTGTGCTGCCGCCGCTACCAGTTCGCCAAACCACGTGCTGCCGGTGCTACCAGTTCGCACGAGCCAGACAGAACCAGCAGGATTTCACCACTGCCCTTATGCAAGCTGTACAATTCTTCCAAAACTGTCCTGTCCATTCTACCCCACTTGCATGCAGGATCACAACCCATGAATCAATTTTTGGGGAATTTACTCAGACTTTGGAAGGAAAGTTTCACTAGTCACTAGTGGACCGGAAGTGAGGAGCCTTGGTAGTACAGTGGTCTAAAGCACCCTGTTATTAAGACCAGCTGCCTGCAATTACTGCAGGTTCGAATCTCGCCAGGCTCAAGGTTGACTCAGCCTTCCATCCTTTCTAAGGTAGGTAAATTGAGGACCCGGATTATGGGGGCAATAAGCTGACTTTGTATAAATATACAAAAGGATGAAGGCTATTGCTTAGCGCATTGTAAGCGGCCCTGAGTCTCCGGAGAAGGGCGGCATATAAATCAAATTAAAAAAAAAAAAAAATCCGTGTGAGATCAAAAACCCGAAGTGTGAGCAAAGAGGGCTGTTCCGTTCTGCGGCACGAAAGTCTCACCAGAAAGACGTGGTCAAAGATCTGGGTGGGGCTGTCCATCTGGCCCAGAATGACGATCATTTCGTTATCGATGAATTCCTTAAATTCGCGCAGGTTGCACGCCATCTGCATTTCCAGCTCCGTTCGGATCTGGGGTGGGAGGGAGAGAGAGAGAGAGAGAGAGAGAGAGGCAGCCTTAAGGGAAGAGGACGAGTTTCGGCTTTCCCAAAACACACGTTTTTTTTGCAAAACAAGTAATTTTAAAGATGACGTATTTTAAATGATATTTCAGATATTTATCTGTCCCCATTTATCTGTACTGACTTCCTTTGTTTATGTTTATACCTATACCCGCTATCTTGCACATGTTTGACGAACAAACGAACAAAATAAATCAATAAAACAGATAAAATAATTTTAAATAAAATACAGTTAGTCCTCGAGTTATGACCGCAGATAAACAAGTGAACAGAGTTGGAAGGGACCTTGGAGGTCATCTAGTCCAGCCCCATGCTCAAGCAGGAAACCCTCTACCATTTCAGATACGTGGTTGTCCAGTCTCTTCTTAAAAAAACTCCAGGCAAACCATTCCACGGATTAATCATTCTGTCAGGAAATTTCTCCTTTACTCCAGGTTGTGATAGATTCCTTCCTTCCTTCCTCCCTCCCTTCTCTTCCTTCCTTCTTTCCCTCCCTCCCTTCCTTCCTCCACTTTCCCTCCTTCCTTCCTTTCCCTCCTCCCTCCCTCCCCTTGCTCTCCTCCCTTCCTTCCTTCCTTCTTTCCTCCCTCCCTTCCTTCCTCCACTTTCCCTCCTCCCTTCCTTTCCCTCCTCACTCCCTCCCCTTGCTCTCCTTCCTTCCTTCCTTCCTCCCTCCCTCCCTTCTCTTCTTTCCTTCTTTCCCTCCCTCCCTTCCTCCACTTTCTCTCCTTCCTTCCTTCTCTTTCCCTCCTCCCTCCCTCCCCTTGCTCTCCTTCCTTCTTTCCTTCCTCCCTCCCTCCCTTCTCTTCCTTCCTTCTTTCCCTCCCTCCCTTCCTTCCTCCACTTTCTCTCCTTCCTTCCTTCCCTTTCCCTCCTCCCTCCCTCCCCTTGCTCTCCTTCCTTCCTTCCTTCCTTCCTTCCTCCCTTCCTTCCTCCACTTTCCCTCCTTCCTTCCTTCCCTTTCCCTCCTCCCTCCTCCCCTTGCTCTCCTTCCTTCTTTCCTTCCTCCCTCCCTCCCTTCTCTTCCTTCCTTCTTTCCCTCCCTCCCTTTTACCATTTTCCTTTCTTCACCTTTCTTCACCTTTCCTTTCCTTTTCCTTCCTTCCCTCCCTCCCTCCCTTTCTTCCGGAATCATAGAATCCTAGGGCTGGAAGGCACCTCAGTGGTCATCTACTCCAACCCCCTGTCCAAGATAGACCTTAAGACTAGTGATGGCGGAACTTTTCTGCACCGAGTGCCGAAAAGGGAGCGCACGCGCGCCCGTGCGCTTCGAGCACACGTGCTTACGCATCTGGGCCACAACTCGGAGGAGGACTTGCCCAGGGTGCATGCACGCGTCTGAACATGAACTTCCGGTTCCCGCCAGCTACTCTTCGGGTTTCTGGCAGGCATGTGCTCGTGACAATCAGCTGGTGATGGAGCACCACAACTTCTAGAGGAAACCCATTCCATTAATGCAGTGTTTCTCAACCTTGGAAGCTTGAAGATGGGTGGACTTCAACTCCCAGAATCCCCCAGCCAGCAGCGCTGGCTGGGGGATTCTGGGAGTTGAAGTCCACCCATCTTCAAGCTTCCAAGGTTGAGAAACACTGCATTAATGGATTGTCCTCACCGTCAGAAAATTTCCTCCTTAATTCCAAGTTGCTTCTCTCCTTGATGGAGTTTCCATCCGTTGCTTCTTCTCCTGCCCTCGGGTGCTTTGGAGAATAGGTGGACCCCCCAACTCTTCTTTGTGGCAACGGCTGGCAGAGAAGCCCCATCCCCAAAGGTCTCCTTCCCACCCCACTCACCTCCTTGGAGGTGATGTTCTCCAGATCTTTCTGCATCATAATCTCTCTGAGTTTGGTCTTGATCAGGCGCTCCGTCCGCTCGCGCTCCGTGGGGCTGAAACGAGGGAAGCCAGGAGGAGGAAATCAGGAGGAGGAAATGGACGCGGGCCAGGAAGGGCCTCGGGGTCGAATCCGACAGGACCCCTAAACCTCTTACTTTCCCATCCCACCCCCACTTTTCCTCCAGCGCAACCGAGGTTGGTATCTATACGTTCAACTTTATTTATTTATTTATTTTTTTTAAATTTGTAGTTTTATTACAACACATATTAGACATTTACTCAACATACAACATATAAGTATCATATTTAAGCATTGTTTCATAGTGGTCTTCCAGTTATTACTTTATTCTTCTTCCCCTTTATCTTAATCTATTACTACATCTTCTTCCCCTCCTTTTCCTTTTTTTCCCCCTCTTTTTTTTCCTTTTCCCCCTATAGAGAACTATACATTTTAGTTATCTCTTTACTATTATACATTTCTACCTTCATATTATCTACATTTTTATTCCACTCCGCACATTTGATACATCTCTTATTTTATTTATTTATTTATTTATTTATTTATTTATTATTTAAATTTTTATACCGCCTTTCTCCCGAGGGAGTCAGGGCGGTGCACAGCCATATTAAAACATGTATATCTATAAAATTTAAAACATATTAAATGATTTGGCCCTATATTAAAAACTAAAACACCCATTAAAATCTGTTCTTAAACCAGCCTATTTTGTACTTCTATTTTTCTCTCCTGATAGTTATTATTCTTTATTGTTAGTCTTAAGCCAATTATACCATTTATTCCATATTCTATAATATTCTCTTTTTCCTCAATTTCTTTTGTTAATCTGTCCATCTCAGCGCATTCTAAGATCATATCTATTAGTTCTTCCTCCGTTGGGGTTCTTTCCTGTTTCCACTTTTTTGCATACGTTATTCGTGCTGCTGTTAATTTATTTAATTTATTTTATGGATGCTTCTATTGTTTTGGTTTTTTTTTTACATGGTTTTAGAATTGTAAGTTTTATCCAGAGTCCCTTGGTTGAGTGGGGAAGCCACATACAGGTACTCCTCGACTTAAAACGATTCACTTAGTGACCAAAATGACAACAGCATTGCAAAAAGTATGATTTATGTTTTTCACACTTATGACTGTATTTATTTATTTATTTATTTATTTATTTATTTATTTATTTATTTATTTATTTATTTATTATTTAAATTTTTATACCGCCTTTCTCCCGAGGGACTCAGGGCGGTGCACAGCCATATTAAAACATATATATCTATAAAATTTAAAACATATTAAATGATTTGGCCCTATATTAAAAACTAAAACACCCATTAAAATCTGTTCTTAAACCAGCCTATTTTGTACTTCTATTTTTCTCTCCTGATAGTTATTATTCTTTATTGTTAGTCTTAAGCCAATTATACCATTTATTCCATATTCTATAATATTCTCTTTTTCCTCAATTTCTTTTGTTAATCTGTCCATCTCAGCGCATTCTAAGATCTTATCTATTAGTTCTTCCTCCGCTGGGGTTCTTTCCTGTTTCCACCTTTTTGCATACGTTATTCGTGCTGCTGTTAATTTATTTAATTTATTTTATGGATGCTTCTATTGTTTTGGTTTTTTTTACATGGTTTTAGAATTGTAAGTTTTATCCAGAGTCCCTTGGTTGAGTGGGGAAGCCACATACAGGTACTCCTCGACTTAAAACGATTCACTTAGTGACCAAAATGACAACAGCATTGCAAAAGTATGATTTATGTTTTTCACACTTATGACTGTATGTATTTATTTATTTATTTATTTATTTATTTATTTATTTATTTAGTTATTTGGTTATTTAGTTATTTATTTATTTATTTGTATACCGCCCTTCTCCCTGAGGACTCAGGGTGGTGAACAGCCAAGTAAAAACATAAACTACAAACATTAAAATACAATTAAAAAGATATATATAAATTTGGCCCCATGATTAAGAACAATAACAGACAATTAAAAACATTTTAAAAAGTGTATCCCTGTGGTCACATGATCAAAATTCGGACCCTCGGCAACTGATTCATATTTATGACGGGTCGCAGGGTCCCGGGGACATGTGATCCCCCTTTTACGACCTTCTGTAAAAATTGACGTCTACGGGGAAGGCAGACTCCCTTAACGGCCGGGTGACTAACTGCAGTGATTCATTTAACAACCGTGCCCTAACTTAACAACTGCAGAGGTTCACTTAACCACGGTGGCGAGGAAGGTTTGAAAACTCACTTTAAACACCCGTCTGGCTGAGCCACAGAAATTTAGGGGGCTCCCTTGTGGCCGTAAGGCGAGGACTGCCCGTAACTCGAAGGAATAAGTCAGTGAATCAAACGGTCATTTCTCATCCGTCAAGGTCACAGGGTGGAAATTTAGGAAAGAGATGGATGGCATCGCTGGAATAACCACCGGATGAGTTTTTGTGGCCTCCTGGCCCTGCACTCATAAGGGCATCTGACCGCTTCGTAGCTCCGGCCTCTTTCTTGCACCCTCTACCTTTGCTGGAGAGGTGAGCCTTCCAGGTTTCCTTATATAGCACCGACAACTGACCCGTGCATTCCGGCCGCCACTCTGCCTTTATCGCCGGCTGTGTAAAAATAGCCCAGGGGGGATGAAGTCTGCTGACGACTCCAAAGGCAGCCGGCCGGTGCCATAAATGTCCTGAGCCCAGGAAGGGCCAGGCGAGCTCAGCCAAAGGGGGAGCAGATGAGATTTTGGGCTGGGGTCTTTCTAGGGGTTCCTTCGGCTGAAGTTTTTTACAGGCCATCCGTGACTTGCGATCATTCGTTGCAAATGTCGAATGGAGCTTCTCGGGTCACGGATGTCCCAAAGGAGCCTTTTTTTTTTTTTTCAAGAGGCAAATGGAATTTCTGGGGGGGTTTTTTCTTTTGAAGACATTTCGCTTCTCATCCAAGAAGCTTCTTCAGCTCTGAGTTGAAGAAGCTTCTTGGACGAGAAGCAAAACGTCTTCAAAAGAAAAAAAAACAAAACAGAAAGTCCAGTTGCCTCTTGAAAAGAAAGCACTTTTGGGGTTAGAGACTGTCGGACCTTCAAATCTAGGTCGTAAGTACAGGTAGTCCTCCGCTTACGACAGCTCACTTAGTGACCGTTCAAAGTTACAAGGGCACTGAAAAAAAGTGATTTAGGATCCGTTTTTCGCACTCGCGACCGCTGCAGCATCTCCGCGGGCGTGTGATCAAAATTCGGACGCTGGTATCCATTGATACCAATTATCCCAAGTTAAGTAATGGATAGAAATTAAAAATAAGGAATGTATAGAACAAAATAAGATATAAAATGTGATTAAATATGTCGATTAAGTAGGAATATGTGGGAATAGATGAAGAAAGTTAAGAATTAAGTACTGTCAGAAAGACGTTGAAGGAGGTATTTTTGTTATAGAGGTATTTAAACTTGTATTTTTGGATTTTAAGTGTTAAAGGTTTTTCCCCCCAAAAAATCTGATGCTTGGAAACTGGCATGTACTTATGACAGTTGTAGCATCCCAGGGTCACACAATCCCCTTTTGCGACCTCCTGATAAGCAAAGTCAATGGGGAAGCTGGATTAATGACCGTTTGACCAACTAAACGACTGCAGTGATTCACTTAACAACAGTGGCAAGAGAGGTTGAAAAACAGGGCAAAGCTCACTTAACAACTGCCTCGCTTAGCAGCGGGAAATTTGGGGAAGAACTGTGGTCGTAAGTCGAGGACTCCCCTGTACAGGTAGTTCTTGATTTATAACGGTTCATTTAGTGGCCATTCGAAGTTACAACGGCACTGAGAAAAGTGGCTTAGGACTGTTTTTCACACTTATGACCGTTGCAGCATCCCCAGGGTCACACGATCGAAATCCAGAGACTTGGCAACTGGTTCACATTTACGACCGTTTCATCCCAAGGTCACGTGATCCCCTTTTGTGACCGTCCGACGAGCAAAGTCGTTGGGGAAGCCAGATTCAATTAATGACCCTGTGATTCGCTTAACAATTGAAGCGATTCACTTAACAGCTGTGGCAAGAAAGGCCGTAAAATGGGGCAAAACTCTCTCTTAACAACTGTCTCGCTTAGCAACGAGAATTTTGGGCCTCCATTGTGGCAAGCCAAGGACTACCTGTAAAAATGTTTTGTTTTTTTCCTTCTTCCTTTTGCTGGACAGGATGGGTCGAGGGTGTCTCGCTTAGCAACGGGAAATTTGAGCTCCATTATGGTCATAAGTGAAGGACTACTGTAAAAATGTTTTGTTTTTTTCCTTCTTCTTTTGCTGGACAGTATGGGTTGAGGGTGTCTCGCTTAGCAAAGGGAAATTTGGGCTCCATTATGGTCGTAAGTGAAGGACTACCTGTAAAAATGTTTTGTTTTTTTTCCTTCTTCCTTTTGCTGGACAGTATGGGTCGAGGGTGTCTCGCTTAGCAACGGGAAATTTGGGCTCCATTATGGTCGTAAGTGAAGGACTACCTGCAAAAAATGTTTTGTTTTTTTCCTTCTTCTTTTGCTGGACAGTATGGGTCGAGGGTGTCTCGCTTAGCAATGGGAAATTTGGGCTCCATTATGGTCGTAAGTGAAGGACTACCTGCAAAAAATGTTTTGTTTTTTTCCTTCTTCTTTTGCTGGACAGTATGGGTCGAGGGGTGTCTCGCTTAGCAACGGGAAATTTGGGCTCCATTATGGTCGTAAGTGAAGGACTACCTGTAAAAATGTTTTGTTTTTTTTTCCTTCTTCCTTTACTGGACATTATGGGTCGAGGGCATCCTTGCAGGAGCCTAGCGGGCTGCCCCGATCTACTTACACGTCCGTAAAGAGTGCCGGGGAATCCGGACGGTGGGACTGGACATCTTGCATGGCGTTCCACTCGTTGACCGAGGACTGGTCGGAATTGATGTGGCTCTCATAGTAGCTGACCCAGGTGAGGAAAAGGCTGCCGGGGTAGTAGTTGTGGATCCGGGACACTTCGCAGGCTTTGTGGAGGCTCTGCAAGGCAGACCTGAGGTGGGAAGGAGAGAGAGAGGCAAGGTGAGCCTGGTTGAACAAAGGAAAATATTTGCAGCTCAGGGTTGAAATGAGGGGTCCTGGGTGCTTTCTGGGCTTGGTTGGGTTTTTTGCAGACGTTTCATGACCCAACTAGGGAACATCATCAGTGCTAGAAGGGAGTGGGGTTTGTGGAGAGGAGGAGGAGGAGGAGGAGGAGGAGGAGGAGGAGGAGGAGGAGGAGGAGGAGGAGGAGGAGGAGGAGGAGGAGGAGGAGGAGGAGATGACTGTGGGGTCCTTGGTGCTCCCTGAGCCTGGTGGTCTTCTTGCAGATGTTTCATGACCCAACTAGGGAACATTATCAGTGCTAGAAGAGAGAGGTTTGCAGAAAGGAGGAGGAGGAAGGTAAGGAGAAGAAGGAGGAGAGGAGGAGGAATGTGGGGTCCTTGGTACTCTCCGAGCTGGGTGATTTTCTGGCACACATTTCATGACCCAACTAGGGAACTTCATCAGTGCTAGAAGAGTGTGGTGTTTGTGGAGAGGAGGAGGAGGAACAGGAGGAGGAAGGGGAAGGAGGAGGAGGAGGTGGGGTCCTTGGTGCTCCCTGAGCTTGGTAGTTTTCTTGCAGACATTTCATGACCCAACTTAGTAACATCATCAGTGTTAGAAGGGAAGGGTGGTTTGTGGAGAGGAGGAGGAGGGGAAGGAGGAGGAGGAGGAGGAGGAGGAGGAGGAGGAGGAGATAATTGTGGGGTCCTTGGTGTTCTCTGAGCTGGGTGATTTTCTGGCACACATTTCATGACCCAACTAAGGAACATCATCAGTGCTAGAAGGGGAGGGGGGTTTGTGAGGAGGAGGAGTGGGGAAGGAGGAGGAGGAGGAGGAAGAAGATTGTGGGCTTCTTGGTGATCTCTGAGCTTGGATGTTTTCTTGCAGACGTTTCATGACCCAACTAGGTAACATCATCAGTGCTAGAAGGGAGTGGGGTGTGTCGAGTGGAGGAGAAGGAAGGATGGCCATTTTTCATACTTATGACCGTGGAGGAGAAGGAGCAGGGGAGGAGGAAGACTGTGGGTTCCTTGGAGCTCTCTGAGCTTAGTTGTTTTCTTGCAGACGTTTTATTACCCAACTGGGTAACATCATCAGTGCTGGCCACCCTTTGACAGCCTCAATTTTGCTGCCTGGGCAGAGGGCGATTTGGAGGGGAGGGGTGAGTGGGGAAAAAAGCAAAGAAAACATCATGTAAACAGAGCAGCCATGCTAAGCCCTTGGCACGGACTGGCCTCCCGGTCGCACCCAGATGCCAACATCCAAAATAAATCCGTGCCAAGGAAAGGAAAGCTGGCTGCACCGTCTTCTTTTTTATTTCCACGGAGGTCACCGCCGGTTTTCTTGGAAGACAAAAATAGCAGGCGACCTCAACCCGGGCAAAGCTTTCTCTGAAGGGGGTGGGAGGGCTCTCCAGGAAAAGGAGAACGGGTGGAGGGGAGCTTTAAACCAGGGTTTGCGACTAACTCTGGTGCCGGAGAAGGCTGATGCGTATTCCCTGGACACCAAGAGCAACTGACAAACCAATATTGGACTGGATCACCGGAATGGGACGACTCGCTCTGGCTAATTCGCCCGGAGGATAATTCGATTTAATGACAGTCGTGGCCCAAATTGTGGAAACCTTTTGGGAAAAGTGCATTTTTTTTTTAATTTTAATTTTTTAAAATTTGATTTATGTGCCGCCCTTCTCTGGAGACTCAGGGCGGCTTACAATGCGTTAAGCAATAGCCTTCATCCTTTTGTATATTTTATACAAAGTCAGCTTCTCTTTCTTTCTTTCTTTCTTTCTTTCTTTCTTTCTTTCTTTCTTTCTTTCTTTCTTTCTTTCCTTCCTTCCTTCCTTCCTTCCTTCCTTCCTTCCTTCCTTCCTTCTCTTTCTTTTCTAAATTTGATTTATATGCCGCCCTTCTCCGGAGACTCAGGGCGGCTTACAATGCGTTAAGCAATAGCCTTCATCCTTTTGTATATATTTTATACAAAGTCAGCTTATTGCGCCCCACAATCCGGCTCCTCATTTTACTCACCTTAGAAAGGATGGAAGGCTGAGTCAACCTTGAGCCTGGGGAGATTCGAACCTGCAGTAATTGCAGGCAGCTGGATGTTAAATGCTGCCTTAGTAGGAGGCATTAGCCTCCTACGCCACTCAGGCTCCTTTCTATTTTCTAAAACTAGTAACACCACTTTTCTTTTCTTTTTTTGGAGTAGTACCATAAAATTATATATCCCTGGAAAGATAATTTAATCAAGAATATCATGCCATAACTATTAGGAAGGATTTGCCATTAGAATAGCAGTTACGGGATAAAGAAGAAAAGTGAAACACGTAGAAAAAACAAGATATGCAAAAATGATCCCCATGTCAGTTAATCCTTCGTTGGCCTTACAACGTCTTCCCATGGAGCGAACCAAGTCTTTTAATTCTGCAGCTGTTCTAATGTGAAACCAAGATTGAATGATGGCTTCTATTAACTGGGTTTTATTGCTAGGTGGCTTCTGACTAACCAGTTTCTTTAGTCGGCTTCATAGATTTCCAATTGGGTGAAGGTCTGGGCTATTTCCAGGCCATTCCAGCAGTGGAATAGGATTATCTGGAAACTCCTCCAAAAAAGTGGTGTTATTAGCCATCAAACCTCAAAAATACACTTTTCCCAAAAGGTTTCCACCATTTTGGCCACGACTGTATTTAAGTCATTTTTTAATGAGGGTCACTTGGTCGCAGGTCCTTGCAGACCGAGGGATTTATTATTTTATGCCTCAGATTAACAGATTTAACAGAGTGGGAAGGGACCTTGTAGGTCATCTAGTCCAACCCCCCCCCCTCCCCACCCAAGCAGGAGACCCTACTCCATTTCTGACCAATGGCAGTCCAATCTTTATTTAGCAGGATTTAGTAAATGTGGAGAAGCAGAGATGGACTCACCACATCGCCTGCACGGACACCGGTTTGAAGATGTGGATCCGGTTGTCGGTGGAAACGCTGAAGCCCCTGCGGGAAGATAAGAGGGGCTGAAACTCTTCTGAACTCTTAAAACTTTTAAAAGAGAATTTTCAAACCATTGAGCTTAAAGTTAAGGAGGTTGGGAAGGTTTATGCATTTTTCCCCCCCACTGTAGTGGACTGGAGTCTGGATTCCCAGGAGGGAGGGGCTGCATTCCAGAGGAGCAGTTTAGAGAGCTTGTGTATGAGAAAGCGGGTGAAGACGGCGCCTCCTTAACAGTTTCCAGAATCTACGTTTCGTGGTGCAAATAATCCGTTTTAGTTTGGCCAAGATTTCGGGCCACAGGTGGGGAACACAAAAGGAGACTGTTTAGAGGAATCTTAACGTGTCTTTCTTGATTTTTTTGGAGGCCAGCACAGCCTGAAGAACCGAGGCCCAATTCTGGGAGTTGGAGTCCACACATCTTAAAGCATGGATGGCTGGGGAATTCTGGGAGTGGAAGTCCACGCATCTTAAAGCATGCTAGCTGGGGAATGCTGGGAGTTGGAGTCCATCCATCTTAAAAGCATGGATGGCTGGGGAATTCTGGGAGTGGAAGTCCACGCATCTTAAAGTGGCTAAAGTTGAGAAACATTGCCCTAGACTAACTCAGTGCTGTCGGGGGAGAAAATCTGGGGTGCCAGCTGATAGTAGAAGACAGTTTCCCAAGCTCAGGTGAGACCCAAAACTTACCCATCGCCGTCCAAATGGATGAGGGCATCGCTCCAGAGCGGCAGGACCAGCCCCATGGTGCAAACGGTGCTGTAGGAGCAATAGAAAGAAACGTTGAAGCTTTTAGCAACCTCGGAGACTTGAACCCAGGGCCTAAATCACCCAAGCAAGATCTTGCCTTGTCTCCAGGGTTGTGAGACACAATTGTGTTTAAGGGACTCAAGTCTCAGGCCCATGCGACACGCACGACAAGTAATCCTCGACTCACAACCATTCCATTGGTGACTGTTCCAAGTTACAACGGCACTGACAAAAGGGATTTAGGACCTCTCCTCGCACTTACGACCAACACAATGTCCTACAGTCATGTGATTTAACATTTAGGCAGCTGGCAACTGGCATGGATTGACGATAGTTGTAGCGTCCGGAGTCATGTCATGATCGCCATTTGTGAATCTCCCAGCCGTCTTCCGATGAGCAAAGTCAATAGGGTTCGCTTAACAACTTCAGGATTCACTTAACAACTTCAGCGATTCACTTAAGAACCATTGGCAAAAAAAGGTTGTAAAATGGGGCAGAACTCATTTATATTTTTGGTTATCATGTATTATTAAATTTATTTCCTAAATTCACAATTGTCTTGCTTAGGAATGAAATGTTTGGGCTCAATTGTGGTCGTAAGTCGAGGACTAGCTATATTTTTTAACTTCCTTTTTAAAAAAAAGAATTCGATGGGCCTTGATTTTTTTTTCCCCCCATTGTGAATTGGTCAGAGATAAGGAGGTTCAAAAATATAATTTTTTAAAAAAATCAGTGGTTAACGTGAATGTGAATAAAAGCAGCTGGCTTTATTCACTTAATTATGTTACTGCTGATTTTGTTTCAGCTTTTATTTATTTTTTAATTCACTTTGTTTGTTACCACTGTTTTTTTTCCCCAGCTTTTATTTATTTTTTATTCATTTTATTTATTGCTGCTTTTTTTCCAGCTTTTATACTCAGCTGTACATCTCCACCCCAGACCACCCCAACGATGCCCTTGATGTGATGTCTCGCTGCCTGGAGGCCGTGCGGGTCTGGATGGGGAAGAACTTGCTCAGACTCAACCCCTC